GGGGGGGCTCCCTTAACGTCTCTCTAATTAAAGCCTTGTGGGTCGGGAGCTTGGAGACTTCATTATACGCCTCTTCTGGTTCCTTGAAGTTTACGATCCGGTCGTGGTTTGGAAAGCCCTCCGGAGGCGCATCAAAGGCTTTGGGTGGGTAGAGGACGATTTGGGGGACAGAGCAGCGCTCTGGAGGAAAGACCAAAGTCTTGCTTTGAACCTGGCCATGATGGCGGAAGAGGGTTGAAAGGAAGACTGCGGGGGGCAGAACACTTTCCGGAGTCCGAACAGCAAGCAGAAAAGGACAATTCGAACTTCTCTGCCCTGATGGCAAGGGGTGTCGCTGCGTCGTTTGGAAATAGGTGCTGTTGCCGCCTGCGGGGTGTCCCAGCAGGATCCCCCCCCCCCCCCTTTCTGCTTCTGACCATCCGCTCAGCTGTTTCTCTCCCACTGCAGGCGCCTGGAAGGCAAAGGAAGAATATGAACGAATTCCTTGGTGATTCCAGCATCCCCAGCCAGGACCTGCTGCAGCCTCCCACCCCCTCCCTGACCCCCAACGGCCCGGACACCCGGAAGAACCGAGCGGCCAGCCGTTTTAGCGGCTTCTTCGGATCGGGCAACAGCACTAGCCCTTTTGCGAGGGTAGGTCCCCCACTTCTTCCTTGCACCCCGAGTCCCGCTTGTCACAGTTTTCGCTGCAGGTGGGGCACAGATGTTGATGTTCCCTCTTCCCAGCAGAACTGGATTGCCTCGAGAAAGGTGGTCTGACACCCAGGAAGGGTTTGGCCCCTTCCGGGCAGAAGGGGAGGGGGTTCTCCGGGACCCCTCCCCGAGATAGAGCCTTCATGTGCAGGAGCAGGCTACCAGGAAATACCAGCGGAGTGGGAATGACTATCTGGATGTCCTTTTAGGTGTGGGAAGGGAACAAAAATTCAGACTTCTTGAGCGGAGGGAGAGACATCAGGAAAAGGAAGTATGCAGAGAAAAAAAATCCAAGGAAAACGAAATTAAATTTCTAAGGGGAAGGAGGAGCAAGGCCTAGATCCTGCACCTGGGAAGAGGTTCTTGGGGTGAAACTTGCGGTATTCAGGGCCGACCGTGGGCAGGAGGTCAAAAGGTGCAAGATGGTGGCTTCATGGAACCTCTGCCCTCTTGCACGTTTTCACGCCCGTCCCTCGCCGACCCCGCCAGGCCTGCCAGTCGGTCAGACGAAGCGCCTGTTCAAAAGGGAAATGAAGGTGGTTTTAGGCTGGGCCTGTCGAGGGGGGCTTTCCAAGTTACGCAAGCATCCTTTTGCATTGGTCAGACCTCAGGCATCCCCTCCGGGGGCCTTTTCTGGAAGCCCTCTTTCAATACGCAGATGCTGGAAACTGGAGACGAGGTCCAGGGGGTCGGGGGCTCTGGCCAACCCAGAATACGATGAGATTATTCCTTCCCGGGATTTGATGCGTCCCTCGATGCCACCCAAGACCTTGGTGCCAAGAGAAGGGATGGGAAGCTGAATTTCTGGGAGTGGAGATGGAGAGAGCCACCCCGGGGAGGAGGCTTGAAAGGGGTGGCCGGAATGGCCCCTTCAAATTGGGGGGTCAATCCCGGTGATCCTCCCACGTTTGCGGTCCTCGGGAAGCTAAGTGCCAGAGGGAAATGCTATGGGATGTTAGTTAGCTGTTTCTTCTCTGCCTGAGAACCTGGTTTTGAAAGAGGCCAGGGGGGGCTTTGACGGGGGGCTCCAGCCAAGTGGTGCTGGGTGCGCTTCTGGGGCGGCCCTCCAACAAGCCAGATTCCTGCAAGGCAAAGAGGAGGGCCAGGGTGGGAGGTGGGCTGTTCGCTCCAGCCCTCCCTCTGCCCCCCAGGAGCTGGACAAGATGGAGCAGCTGGAGAGCAAGCTGCAGTCCTACGCGCTCTTCGGCCTGCCCCGGTTCCCCGACCAGCTGCGCTTCGACCAGGATTCCTGGGAAGACGGCGAGGAGGAGGACGAGGCGGCCCTGAGGCTGGAGGACAGCTGGCAGCAGATCATCGAGGGGACGGAGGTGAGTGGCGGGGGGGGCTCTTGCCCTGCCGGACCTCACAGGCGGCTACGCCAGCTTCTTCCTCTCTCTTTCCCTACCTCTCCCCTTCCTTCCTTCCTTCCTTCCTGTTCCCTTCCTCCCCCCATCTCTTTGCGGCCAACCCTTCAGCCTGTGGTGCCGCCTGTGTGTTTTCCACACGTATCTCCTCTCTCACTTGCTGCTCGCACTGTCCAGAAGTACTTCTGCTTTTACCAGTTAAGCCTTGACAAAGTGAAAGCTTTTCTCCCCCTAACAGGGGCGGCTTTGTGGTCATCCTGGGGAGGTTAATTTAGGAGCATCTTCGGGGTGGAAACGCCAGCGGGGCGAACTGGGGCTGGCAGCCGGGCAGGGGCTGAGCGGCCAGCAGCCTCGATTTCTCCTCCGCGAAAGGGTTTCCGGCGGTCGCCTTTGCCCTCCCCGCTCACCTGCTGAGCCCGAATGCTTTCCGCTCCCTCCACGATCGCGTGGGGAGACCGAGGGGTGGGAACGCCGGCCTCTGTTTTCCCTCTTCGCCGCAAGCAAATTTAGCAGTTCGGATCCGTGTGCAGGAGGGGCCGGGTGGCCTCGCTTCGGAAGAGTCGTGCACTTCTCCAACCTTTTCCAAGCCTTCCGGTGGTGCCTGACTACAACTCCCATCGCCTGACCATATTGGCCATGGCTGATAGAAGCTGTAGATTAAATGCCATCCAAATTAGTCGAAATTTCCCAGTTTTTGCCTCTGAATGCTGGACGCCGGGGATTATAGATTCCCTCCGGCTGGCAACAGGCACTAGCCTAGTGAGGCTTTTGGTCTCCCCGGCTGGATCTTCCAGCCTACTCCCTCCTGGGACTACAGCTCCCAGAATTCCCATTGTGGTGCTTTGGGATTCTGGGATTTGAAGTCCCAAGGCATCAGGAACTGCCAGATTGGGGAACTACAACTCCCAGAATTCCAGCTGTGGTGTTTGAATTCTGGGAGCTGAACTCCCAAGATATCAGGAGCTGCTGGATTGCGGAACTGCAACTCCCAGAATTCCAGCTGTCGTGCTTTGGAATTCTGGGAGTTGAAGTCCCAACATGCTGGGAGGTGCCCGTTTAGAGAAGCTGATTGTTTTCCCAGAAGAGGAGTAAGATTCAATCTGGGCGTTGTTTCTCCAGGCTTTGACGCGACGCCAGTGCCACCAGCAGGAAGCCATTTGGGAACTGCTGCACACCGAAGCGTCTTACATCAAGAAACTGAAAGTCATCACCGATGTAAGTCCATGCGGTGCCCTGTGCAAACCTTTCCAAACTGTCTAGCACAACATTTCTCAACCTCAGCAACTTTAAGATGGGTGTACTTCAACTCCCAGAATTCCCCAGCCAGCCGTGGGTTTGGTGGTTGGCAGGTTGGGGAAGGGTGTGTGTGTATCTCTTCCTCCTTTGAACACAGCCCAAAACTGTGAGTGTTCTTCGCCGTGAAAGTGAAAGAGTAGAGAAGGAGAAAGCCCTCCCTTCGCTGTGCTTACCAACTGGAGGGAGTGCAAGGCAGGGCAGGGACTCGTGCAGAGGGGCGACAGGCCACCTCTTCTGTAACTACCTGCAGGAAGCTTCGGTTCTCTTGGTCTCACTGCCTGGGAATTCCTGGGTGGACAAGGGAGAAGCTTCTGACTGGGCAACACTGGACAGGAAGGGGTGGGGGGAATCTTCTCCTCCCCCTTTTCTACACTCTTCTGAGCCCAGAAAGGATCCGCTCGGGGCTTCAGATCCGGGTGCAAAAAGGGGCTTTGGAGGGCCTGGGGGACGCAAACCCCCTCTCTCCTTGCAATTCCTAGGGAGCTCCATTTTCTCCCAGGTGGCTGTGCAATCTCAAGAAAATTGTTTTAATTGTTGGATTGTAATTATTAGTTTTTATATTGCCTTTTTTGCTGTACGCTGCCCAGAGCCACAGATCGGTGAGACAGGAGGCTATATAAATAGGATGTATACATAAAGAAATGACTCAGCTGCTTTCAAGAGATGCCACAGCTCTGCTCCCCTGCCCTCCAAAGCATCTTCTCCAGTTTATTCCCCAAGCTCCTTCATAGCTCTTTCATTTAGAACAGTGTGTCCCAACCTGGGCAGCTTTGAGACGAGGGGACTCCAACTCCCAGAATTCTTAGCCATACCTAGGGAATTCTGGGAGTCGAAATCTACCCATCGCAAAGTTGCCCTTTGATGTTTTGGGGTCCTCTTTTCAGTGATTCCATCCAAAGACAGAGCCCCTTGTTAACCCCACCCCAAAGTTGCCCGTCTCTTCTCTAATCCCACCACTGTACTGCTCCTCGTCTAATGGACCAACCCCTCTTTTCGTTTCCTCCACAGCTGTTCCTGTGCTGCCTTTTAAATTTGCAGGATTTGGGCCTCTTGTGCGAGGTAAGAGCTCCCCTGGTTAAAAACTCTGCTGGGAAACAGAGGGGTCAAAGTTGCATTTTCAGTTTGCCTTTGAATCCAGAGTCTGGATTAAGGAACAGAATCGCCGTGTTCCTGTAAAGCACCTCATCTAGGACAGAAGCTGTATTTATAGGCATCTAGTTTATCCTTTGATTCCTGGGATATTGGCAAGGTAGTAATTCTTTTTAAAATATATTTTATGTGCTTAGATGCCCTTATCTTCATTAAATCTCACAGCTATTAATTCCAGTAGCCTTTTCTTAGGGAACAGATTCTTCCCTACAGGTAGATTTGATAGCATCTGGGATATGTAGATTTCCTCTTAAGATGGAAGGTGGATAAGAAAGAAGCCATAAAATGATCATGCTATTAAAAGCAGCCAGAAATATTTCCCCAACATGTCCTCTTCACTGGATATATCACTCTCTGTCCGCCAACTTGATTCCAAAAAGAGGGGCATCACCTGGTGTCCTACTTTCCATCTCTATTCTTCTCCTGACGTGTAATAAAAGGGTTGGGGCTGGAATAACCGAAGACCACTTGGTTATTAGATAGAGTGACAGATGTTGATAGACAGACAGATAGATAGAGGGAGGGACAGAAAGACAGACGGACAGATGGATGAACAGATGGATGGACAGAGAGAAGGATGGACAGATGGACAGACAGACAGATGGCTGGATAGACGGATGGATGGACAGACAGAAAGACAGATGGACAGACAGATGGCTGGATGGGTGGATGTCCACTTTTGAGCATATTTATTTATTTATTTATTTATAGCTTATTATTATTATTATTATACAGATAAATTATATATTTTTATATATATATAAAATAATATATATATATTATTATGTTTATCTGTATAGCTGCCCATCTTACACAAAGCGACTCTGGGCGGCGTTGTAGTATGTAACATATACTATATATATATAAAGTTATAGCATATAGTAATCTTGCTGCGGTTGTCATATATAAAAACATCTCCTAAGAGTTTCCAAGGTGGGGAAAATCTCTTTTCCTTGGAGGAGGAGAAGGCAACTGCTTGGCCCCCTCGGGGCCGGGGGGAGAGCGTGTCAACGCTGCGTGGAGTGGGGGTACCCTTCGTTTGCCGCGTTCAGAGGGGGCCCATCCGCTTTGTCTGTCTCCTGGACGGAAGTGAGTTTAGTAACGCAGCAACAGCGGGACCTCAACCACACGCAGCTTGTGCGAGGAGGCGCCGGCGAATGGGTGCGCCGGTGGCAGCTTTGGGGAGAACTGAACAGAGTGCCAGGAAGATTTTTTTTCCCCACTCTCATTCATCCCCCAAAAGATGTGTCTGGTCAAACCGGTCCCGCAGGTTTTGATTCAAAAACAATAAAAATCAATAAAATAAAATATAGGGGTTGGGCACCTTTGTGGCATCTCCACCAAAGGATGGTCAAGGATGAATTAACACAGCTCAGAAGCCTCCCAGCCCGGGATCCAGACCTCTGCTGGTTGACCTCAGGATCTCGGACTGTTTGGGAGAATTGCTCGTTGCCTGGGTTGGGGTGCCCCCCAGCTGCAAACAGAATCAGTCTTTTTTCAATTCTCCAGAAAGAAATGAACTTGCCTTAAGTTGGGGAGTCAGTGCATCTCTGCTTTTTCTCCATGTGGGTTTGCACCCTGGCAGGTGGAAGCCGAGCGCCTTTTCAGCAACGTCCAGGAGATTGTCCGGCTCCATCGCATGCTGTGGAGGACCGTCATGGTCCCCGTGCTGGAGAAGGCCCGGACGAGCCGATCCTTGCTGGACCCCACCGACTTCTTCAAGGTCTTCAAGATGGTGAGGGTGAAAGAGGGCTGCTCGGTGGGGCGGGGTGCTGCCGGCCGTTATGATATGCTCAGAGGCCCTCTGGGGTTGGAGTTGAGCTCGGAAGCTGATGTCGGGCCTGGGGAAGAGAAGTAGGGTGGCGGATTGTTGGGAAATAGCAGAGAGAGAGTAACTGGGTGCCAGCTTGGTTGTAGTAAAAAATAAAAATGGGGAGTAGCTGAGCAGAAGGGGTTGTACAAGGCCAGAATGACCTCCAGGAGCAGGAGGAAAATCGGTGAAAAACGGAAGCTGCAATGCCACCATTGGCCGTTAACAGCAGAGGCACTAGAGAGCTCAGCATCGCAGGAAGATCATCTAGTTCAACGAGATGCAGGAATCTGGATTAAAGTCTAGAATCCTCAAATGTGAGGCCTGGAAGGAAACCTGGAGATCATCCAGTCCAGCCCCCTGCCGGGGCAGGAATCCAAATTCAGGCATAGAATCCTAGAATGTAAGTCTGCAGGAGATCATGTAGTCCAACCCCTGCCCGAGACTCGAATGCGGGAATCCAAGGTGAGCCATAGCATCAGAACGCCCTGCCCAGCGCAGGAAGAACGACTGTGGCACCTATACAGCAGCGGGGAACACAACCGCTCCAGTATCCCGGTCAGGTGCCCGCTTTCCACCCAGGCCACTCAGCTGCCGTTGGAGAATGCCCACTTCTGAGCTCCTCCAGGGCCTCCCTAAACCATGGTTAACTCCAGGTCTTTTCTCTCCCCCCAGTTTGGCTCCCTCTTCAAGCCTTATGTCCGGTACTGCATGGAGGAAGAGGGTTGCATGGAATACATGCGGAATTTGCTGCGTGAGACCAAGCTCTCCCGCCTTGATGTGACGGTAAGGACAGGCGGGACAGGTGGAACAGGCGGGGCAGGGTCCCCCCCCGGGCCACAGGGGTGCCCGTATGCCCCTGCCTGGTTGAGATTGCATGGCCAGAATAAAGGGGGGGGAGTTTTAGCAGATTCCCAGGAACATGCAAGGGAGAGGAGTCTGTCTGCCCAGCGTTGATGTCCCTGCCTTCCCCCTGCTCCCCTCTTGGGACCCTGAGCCGGCGGGACGGCGTCTGTCTTGACCCCGTCCGTGACGGGAAACCCACTGCCCTTCCCGCTCACAGTGGGCTGAAAAGCACAAGCAGTGCAACCGTCTGAAACTGAGCGACATGCTCGTGAAGCCGCACCAGCGCCTGACCAAGTACCCGCTGCTCCTGAAGTCCGTGTTGAAGAAGACCGAGGAGCCGCCTGCCCGCGAGGCCATCGTCACCATGGTAAGAGGCCAAGCTGAGCCCCGGGAAAGATGCTGCGGGCCGTGTTCTTCTCGCACCCCCTTTTATCCAAACCCACGTGGATGGGGGTGCAAGCCTGTGGGGGTGCCAGTAAGCCCCGTGGGTGAAAGGACAGGACAGCACACTCGGGCACTTTCTGCCCTGTGACGAAATGCTGGTTGGTTTTTCCAGTAAAAGAGAAAGCGAAGTGAACGAGGCAGGGGGGAAGAGAAAGAAGGGAGGAGCGGTGGATCGTTGCAGCGAGAAAAAGAAAAGGGAAAAAAATCAGAATATTGGGAAGAAGTGGGGAGGAAAGCTGGAACTCCATGCGATGGGCTACATTTTCCGTCCCGAAGGGCAGTGGAGAAGGGCGCGAGGCTGCATGGTGGAAGAAAATCAGTTTGGGGATCTTACAGGAGGAAATCTTGAATTGTTTGCAGTCGGGTACCATATCCGCCCACCCGTTGCGATCTCCTTTTGGCAGGAAATAACTGACAAGGGAGAAGATAAGATATACGCAAATCTCTTTTTCGTTTCTTTCTTTTTCTTTTTTTGAGAGGGGTGATAAGAAAAAGTTAAAGGCCAGATGCACAGAAATGTATGTCAAGGTGATAGAGGAATATCAAAGTGCACAGAGAAAATGCTGTTTGATCAGCTTATTCTCCCGCAAGGGTTAGGACAGAGGGTCCACCACGAAGCTAAAATGGGTGAAAATTCAGAAAGGAGAAAAAGGGTTTCCTACCACTGCAAGTTAAACTAGGGGCTTCCGGCAACTGGCCACCAATTTAGAGGGTGGGTTTTTCCTTTTTAACTTACTAAACCTGCTTTACCTTCCACTGGTAAAATCTCCTGGCAATTTGCACTCCAGACCCAGAGCCAGAAAGATAAAGAGTCCAAATGCAACTCAGCAATGAAAATGAATTACTCGGGGGAGTTGAAATGTAGGGCCCCCCAAAAAAGCCTGAAAAAAATGGCCAAAAAGAACACTTTTGCATTAAGACTTTTAAAAGAAAATCGGTCAAAACACAGCACAGAACTACAGGGAGGGGACGGTTACATCGTTTGAAAAGGGGACTCGGGTCCCCCCCCCAGATACCTGCCAATCAATCATGAAGGTTTGGTGGAGTTTCCACGTTCCACAGCAGTCTAGCTGTGAGAAACCCAGCGGGGTTAGCTGCTCCTTCGGCTTCTGGGAGTCGCTGATTTCGACTCCGGGAGGAAAGGGCCAGCGAAGTCTGTAGATCCAGCTCGTCTTCCTTTGCAGATCAACTCCGTGGAGCATTTTATCAACCATGTCAACTCGTGTATGCGGCAGCACCAGGAACAGCAGCGCCTGGCCACCACCGTTAACCGCATCGACGCGTATGAGGTGGTGGAGGGGAGCACCGATGAAGTGGACAAGGTGAGCCAGGGATCGGGGGGTGCAAGGAGGGGCCCCTAGGTCTTTTGCTCAGTGTTTCTCAACCTTGGCACCTTCAAGATGAGTGGACTTCATGCTGGCTGGGGAATTCTGGGAGTTGAAGTCCACTCATCTTAAAGGTGCCAAGGCTGAGAAACACTGCTCTTCCTTGAATTGACTCGCCAGTTAGGACTCTGTATCAAGACCCTGGTCAAAATCACTGGCACCCACAGGTTGGGTCCGAAAAAGTCAAGAGGGGGCTCACAATTGTGCAGTCAAACCTCACCCCCTAAGGCTGTGCAGTCGCCGCCACCATCTTGACTTTTTTGACACCCTCCCCCCCCATGGAAATATGGCTGGCAGCAGCGCGAAGCCATCCGTACAGATCCATCCAGGAGGGCTTTTCGTTAAGATCTGTCACTGGGGTTGAAGATGCTTTTTCATTACGAAATAAATAATAAATTAAACACCGTTAGCAGATCAATAAATATAAAAATAACTATTAAACACGCACGATTGTCGGTTCAGTAAATGGTTAATTTATGTTATGGTTGGGATAAAGTTAATTATTAAAATTATGATTTTTAAAGGGAAATCATTACGGGGGGGACCGGATTTTGTGCGGGATCTTCCGGAACATTTGGGCTTCAGTGGACCTGGCCAGGAGTCCGGGTGCAATGGGGTGGAAGAGACAGATAGGAAATAAATAAATGCCTCCCCTAAAATTTTGAGAAGTTTGCCGCCCTGCGTAGGGGTTCTTCAAAAGCGGGCAGCGTCTGCTGGAGACGTGCCGTAAAGCTGTTTTCCGGACTGTGCGATATATCGGATTCTCCGGCTGACTCGGCGGGCCGGCTTGGCAGGAGAACCCAGGACTCCAGGAACTAACCCTGGTTCCCCTTCACCCGGCTTCGCCAGCTTGGCCTGGGCAGCGGGTGCCTTTGGGTTGCAGCGCCAAACCTGGACCCCCCTTTATTTCCTTCTCCCCCCCAGATCCTGAAGGAGTATCTGCGGCTGGACCTGACGGCCCCGATCCCCGGGACCTCCAGAGAGGAGACGCGGCAGCTGCTGCTGGAGGGCGGCCTCAAGATGAAGGAAGGGAGAGACAGCAAGGTGGGGCCCCAGGGAGATGAGGCAGCTGGGCTGTGCTCTGGGGCCCGTGGGAGAAAGGAAGGGTGGAGGGGAGGCAGCTGTTCGGGACCTCTGCTAGCTTTCTCCTTGCGGGGACTTTGGGGGTAAGTAAGCCCTCAACCTAAAATGCCCCCTCCTTCTCTCCCTTCCAGTGAAAGCCCTAATGCATAATTTAGCTCTGGTCACCATTCTCTTGCCAGCCCCACCCACCCTCTCTCCTTCCTTCCCCTTCTCCTTCCCCT